TACGGTGCAGGAATTTGAAATGAATGTAAAGTTAAGCAACAAATTGTCTCCCATTTGAAAATCCAAAAACCAAAATTTTATTCAAGGGAAACAACTTTTTCAAGAACAGCTTAATTAACAAAGGGTAACTAAGACATGCTTGAAAAATACAACAAAACGCTCTAAATTTCAATACGTAAAATTTATAACAAAACTTTTATATTTACTATATAAACTTGCAGAAACAATATATTTAACCTATTGAGTACTTAACTGTAGGTTTTGCTTGAAAGTCCAAAAACATTAGCTTTACTATATTATACTTCTATTCAACATTGAGGACATACACTGATTTGTAGATTCTTTAGTATGTATTTTAAAAATTTATTTTCAAAAAATCAAACACGGGTACACCTTTAAGACATTTCTAGAATTAATGATTTTAAATATAAAAAAAATATAGTTTGAATAAAAAAAATTACGGTTAGCTATAAATTTCATCCTAATATTATATATTAATGCTTTAAGAGTGGTAATATAAATTTAAAAAAAAAAACATTTTTTAACCAGAGAACGCCTCCCTTTCTTAGTAGTGTGTTCCGTCCGAAATTGAAATTGTCTTACTTACTTGACTACTCGATATACTCTACTACATTCACAACACATATCAAATTTCGATATCTAAACATAATTATACCAGATGCTCCAGGACTACGACACAACCTCGTTTAACTTCACGAAGTTCTACAAACGATACTCTAAATCAGGGGTCTCCAAACTTTTCAGTCCGAGGGCCGCATTACCTATCAAATTTCAGTTCGAGGGTCAGTTTCTTCCAGGCATGTCTTTGATTTTTCTGGGCAAAGTTCCTCAGCCATCACCAACACACGGTTTTTTTTTTTCGTTGACAAAATGATCTCCGCGGGCCAGATGGGAGGACCTCGCGGGCCGCATCCGGCCCGCGTGCCGTAGTTTGGAGACCCCTGCTCTAAATCAATAACGATTTCACTGAACCTACTACTACACTTTAACAGTTAAGAATCAATACTCCCGAATTCAAGAACTACGATACTTCATCACCTGCATTCTCATTTCTTTATTACCAATCAGATTCCACTAGACCTTCATCTACAAAACAGCCGAATAAAAATTATGACACTTAAACACTTCGATACTTTAAACCTACGAATCTATTTCAGCAACAGCCTTCCGTCGTTACTCCCAAATCTAAACGATTCATCAAAACTTACCAAACAAGTACAATACTTTGAAAACCCCGTCATTACAAAACTCTATACACCAGAACATAATTCTAATTCAAAGTCAGAGAAAGCGAGACTTACAAGCCCTATTCAAATTAGATAACCGTTTGAAATGCTCGAAATGTAAATAACGAACTTATTGAATCGTTTTAAACATCACTTATGGGACACCAAATTAAAAAGGCAATGTGACTGGTAAAAAGCGACCGACCTTTCCAAATTAGGGAGGTGAGTTTGCATTTTCACTATCGCGAATAAATATAGGCCTATATAAACCTCATTTTTGGGTGGGGGTGCAAAAGTGATAGTTTGTCCTAGTTGCTGAAATACATCATATACCTTTATAAAAGCGATTAAACCTTTTGCGCCCTCCTAGGGAGACCCCCCCCCCACCCCTAGGCGACCGAATAGCTTGTCTTATAGGTAGCGCCATCCCTGATAATTTCCAAAATTCACAACCTGTTAGATATTCACTCTTAATAAGTCTCCAAATGGAGCTGCGCATACATGCATATAGGCGAACTTAATTCGTTTTGGAATGTGATGAAATTTTGCTCGTTTAATTAGCGTACAAGAAACATATTTCGATCTCTTAATTAGGAAAACGAAATTATACGAAGAAAACATTTAATTTGCATTTTATTTGCTTGTGCTTTAATAATTATTAGCCATTAAAATTGTATTGTTCGAAATTAAATTGGAACGCAACACATATTTTTTTTGATACCTGACCAAAGTTAATAGTTTTACCCTGTGAGAAAAAAAAACAGCTTTCATAATAAATAGACATGTCCGTATAGTTTTAGATCCAGTGGAGCGGACGCGACACCAATTTTAAAGATGTTATAACATAAAATGACAAAACAATGATTTATGTAGTTGAAATAATAGAATAATAATAAGAAGGGTAACACCCAACCGAAAGTACAAAATGTTTGTGACACCCTGATTTACCGCATAGGGTGACACCCTTAATTACCGAATAGGGTGACACCCTGAGTTACGGCATAGGGTGACAACCTTATTTACCGCATAGGGTGACACCCTGAATTACCGCATAGGGTGACACCCTGAATTACCGCATAGGGTGACAACCTTATTTACCGCATAGGGTGACACCAGACCTAATGACACCGCTGGCCACATCTTTCATAGTTTATAAAGAAAGTTTAGTTTAGAAAATGTATTTTTCTATATGCATCAGTTTGCTAGTATACCTCTGCAGTGGCGTAACGAAGGGGGGGGGGTGAGGACCGCACCGGGTGACACCATTTAGGGGGGTGACACCAAGGCAAAACATAGCAAAGTATATAGAGAAAAATGATAATTCCACTTAATTAAGTGATTAATTCGAGTGTTAAATAGTTTTTTAAGAGGTGCAAATCGAAAGTTTGAGGGGGGGGGGGGTGCAAATCGAAAGTTGAAAGTTTGTCACCGGGAAGGGCCGCTACGCCTCTAGGGGATGACACCATTAAGTGCAGCAACGGGTGACACCCGACCTCGCTACGCCACTTTACCTCTGTGTGTGTATTTATGTTTGCTTAGATTTGTGTATACATCACTATATTTGTAAAAAAAAAATGTTTTAATAAAATAGTATCTGATATATTTTATCTAGATGAACGTTTGCCCTACGGCAGATACACGTTAATCTACACACACGACATCAGTCACAAGGTAATTATTAAACTCTACTGCTTTTAAACAAAACTGATTGTTTTTCTTGTTAGCTTAGTTATACAAATATATTACAAACATCGGATTATAAACCAAAATAAGCATTTTATCTGTGTAATGTATATTTATTATTCAGTAGTAAATGTAGCCTACATACAGATATCAGTTGCATTGAGCTAATAAGGAGTGACTGGGGTTTGGGAGCTAGGCTATGATGGGTTGGGGTAGGTTGGAAAGGGATAGGGCCAATTCTTAGGCTGTCATCCTTCTTGTTCTTTATACGTCTCAATTAATTAAAAAATACAATATATTACAATACTGTCTTTGTTAATGACTCAGAAATAAAGAGCATGCTTTAAAGTATGTCTTCATAGTATTCCTTAATTAATAAAACGTACAGCGGTCTTTGCACAATCATACACTTCAGAACTTTCGCTTAATACTAGCCTATTAGCGTAAACAGTTATTTTCCAAACTACGTTTTTCACCAATCATTATGTCATCCATCCCTTTGATGTCTTTGCACCAACAATATGTCATCCATCCTTTAATGTCTTTCTTAACCTCTCACACAGGCATGCTATACATCATGCACGATGGAATCTACCTGTTGGGGATACACCTATAAGCTAGAAGGTCAATGTTTGCATAAGATTTTGTCGCACGCAGAAACAGTAGAGCAAGAAGGAGCTGCATTTATTCGATGCTAAACGGGTTAGGCTTTGGGTTGTGATATGTATTCCGAAAAAAACGTCTGTTTTGTATTTGTTTATTATTACCTGAAATTTATGATTGCAAAATTTTAAACAGGGGGTGTAAAATTCAGGACAAATACAGCCTGAAGTTAATACAATCGCAAAATCGTGAAACAACAGTAATCATAATTATGATGTAAGTAGTTAAAACAATATTCAAGGAAACTCTTGTGATTTGTAGCGGCAACTATTTGAAGATTATGTCAAATCTCTATCTCAGCACTTGCTGCAAAATGGGATAAACTTACAAGGACCCTGATAAAGAACTTGATTCTAAAGTTATAGCATCTATGTACACCACTGTTCATAGCAGTAAGCGGTTTTGAATTTTTTAAAAGCCTATAACTTGAGTACTATTTCAGATAGATAAATGAAATTTCACATGTAAGTAAAAGATCTAATCTTCTACCTTCTATCAAATTTTGAGTAATTTCCGTTGACCGGTAGTAGTAATCTACGCTATTTCCCATTTCTCAAAAAACGCATGTAAATTTATAAAGTACTAATAATATTCCGCACTATTATGCATATTTTGTTTTGGCGATCGCTTAGTGCGCAATTCTTTTTTTCTACGAGATTCTATTTTTAAAAGTTTAAGTAATTAAAAATCATGTCTATATTCCGAGTTGCATTCCCACGTAGAAGAAAATTCGAGAAAGTTGAGGGGAGATCACTCCCGGTTTATTTATTTTTGAATTCTTTCAAGTTGCCTTTTGGGGTGCATTTCTCGCCTCTTTACAGAGTTTTTCGTTATTTTATTTTTGTCTACTTGCTTTTTTTAAAATTTCTATGTTACTTCTGACGTTTAAAAACAGTTAAAAAGTGAAATTATAACAACACTACACATATACATTTTTAAATATAAGAAAAGCAGCGAATGTACTAAAACGTTTTATTTTATAAGAATAGATAAAAAAAACGAGAAAAAACCATTAGATATTTTTTTAAAAAATAAGTTTTATATAAGATGAAGAAGAGCTATAAAATGATTTTATCATATTAATTAATCGTGTACAGTATTTTGAAAAACAAAAAGCATTTTTACACACAAAAAAAATTTACTTTAAAGTGAAATAGTGTTTTGTTTAAAAAAATATATAAATATATTATTGTGGAGATTTAAAAATGTTTTGATCTATTAAAAATTTTTTTTAAAAAAGAGAAATATGCTATATATTTAAGAAAAGTATTTTCCCACTTGAAACGTATAATAATGAATCCATTACTATTCTAATGTGTACATGCAACGGTAACTATAAAAACCACTGATTTAACTGATACCATGAATATATATATATGTATATATATATATATATATATATATATATATATATATATATATATATATATATGTTTATACAAGGATAACTTTTACATGCTAAATCAAGCATTAAGCATTGAGCATCGAACAAAGCTTGATGTCGACTTGTCCGTGTTTATGTCCGTCACTGTTCCATCTAAGATGTAGTGATTGCAACTGTTTGATTTTTTGGAATATTCATATCCAACACATAGCGGGGTAACCATGCAAGAGTCGAAACAGTCCTGTATACGGTATTAATACATAATTGATTATACGTACACATATAGTTCAAAGTTAACAATCAAAACAATTAAGATACGTTTAATTAAATAATTCTTTTTCAAAATATTAGAAACGATGCACTAGTCTTGTATCAAGAAAACTGTTACAATTTTCCGGATTAAATATATAGTGAAACAACCTAATATTAAAAACACAGTTTATACAGTATCATTTCTATTTTTTTTTTCAAAAGTCAAATCTTTACCTTATGAGTATTGTAGGGTAGGATTGCTAGGCGAATAGACGAATATGCTGAGCAGTCACCTGATTAAAAGATTTGTGACGATATATATATATATATATATATATATATATATATATATATATATATATATATATATATATATATATATATATATATATATGTAATTATCACACACAGTATTATCAATCACAAATGTGTACGCTAACCATGCAAGAAATACCTTGGGTGTAAACAGTGTGTTTTATAAGTGCTAGTGTTTACCTATGTTAATATAAATTATAATTTAGTCTGAAATTTGTGTAAAAAGTTAATTGAGAGGACGAAATCACGTCACTAATTTTTAGAATCAGAATTTTAGCAAGCAAAGTTTAGAACTTTTATCGAAAATTTAAAACCCATTAAAATATCAATGTATTATATTAAACGGTCAAAATAATACGTTCATTTAGCATTTTGGCTGAAATAGCTGTGCTTTTCATGAATGGTAACTTGAAAGCGAATAAAAACTGATATTACCAAACAAAACATGATGTGTGTAATAGGATTAATGTAAAAAAAAAAGTCTTACATATTATATTATTATTTTTTATAACAATGTATTTCAATAATATTTCCAACACATATAAAAACCTGTACATTAAAGATAATGCAATTGGGGACACTTTAAGATAAACTTTTTTTAAAAAAAATTCACCTGATACGTTTTGGCACCTGATGTACGGATTAACTTCCAAATCTGAGTTTTCCGTATCAACAACATCCCCCGTCACCAGCTTTAGTTCGCAACTTGTCCCAACTTTGTAGATGTAAGAATAACAAGATGGATTCGCTGCACACATTTCGAAACAAGCCTGTTGTTTGAAACAAAGTTAAAGGTTGCGTTAGATCATATATTTTAGCAGCATATTTAATATGTGAAATTTAATACACGATTTTATTTAATTAAACAGATAGAAACAAAAACGATTGCTTTATTTTTAAAAATGCTGACTTTGATGTAAATTAAGTTTAAAAACAAGTTTACCGTTAACCAGAGGCGTAGCGACCCTTCCCGGCGCCCGGACAAACTTTCGATTTGCAACCCCCCTCAAACGTTCGATTTGCACCCACCCCCTCAAACTATTGATTTGCACCCCCCCCCCCCCCTCAAACTTTCAAGTTGTTTTTCCCACCCATATAACCCCCCCCCCCCCGCCCCCCCCCCCCCTTGCTATACCTCTGCCGTTAACAGTATATGTAAAACCCCGGTAATTTAACGCAATATTTAATTTTAGGGAAAACATTACACACCTTATTATAATCCAACTTTCGTGGGTTTTTTTGCTCTAATTTATCAAAATAAATCCAAAATCATAGGATAAAAACCAATCTGACAATGTTGCTTTATTATTTTTTTGTAAGTTGACACTAAACTTACTATTAACAGCAATGATAATACTAATATACTCGACAATTTAAAACATAATTAATTCTAGCTATAATTATAAAAATGTTGACAGTTTTAAAAATCAAAATGTAGTAAGAAAATCAAATCGTGATAATTACTTCTATTTTTAGTAGGCAGTAAGTATCCCTTACTTTGTGACAATTTGATACTTCATTGGCAGTATAAATCGAAAAAAATGCGATTTAGACAAAATAGCCTACTTTATAAAACTGTCACACAGAAAAATAATATTCCTTTATTTTGTATTCAGTATTTAAACGAAATGTGTATATTTGTATGTATTTAAAAATAAAGCTTTTGTTTAATATTGTCTCTATATTAAGGAACTATCTTTTAGATAATTTGAATTTTTTTTAAAGTTATCATATAATTGACATTATTACTATATTTTAAGTGTTATACCTTGTTTGTTAAATTCTTGTAAATTTTAGAGGTTTTAGATGAGTAGGCATTACACTGTGCTGGAAAAAAGAAATAAAATTAATGTCGACTAGTAAATTCTATTCACAATGGTATATATGTAATATTAGGTTAATAGAGCATGAAATTGAGACAACATAATTATTACGTTTCCTGTTATATGCTCAATGTTTATGTATTAATTAACGGTTTTTCTTTTATATTAGATGACATGAAAGTTAATAAAGCGATGAACTAAGAATAATATTTAAAATACTATATTAATTTTATTTTTTATTTCACAGGTTATTGGATAAAGATGAGCAATCCGTACTTAGTCTACACAAACACACACACACACACATATATATATATCTATATATATATATATATATATATATATATATATATATATATATATATATATATATATATATATACATATTAAGTATGATTACCTGTACAGGTAGAGGTATCTGTTTCAGAAACACTATAACCCGGATCACATGAGCACGAGTAGCTTCCAATAGTGTTTGTACACGTATGATGACATGGGCTTTCTGTTTGGCCGCTGCATTCATCAACGTCTAAGAAAACAAAACAAACTTTAAGCCCGTTCATCAAAAGCGTAGTATACTACATTAATGGCTTAGTGACATTGCGAACTTTACAGAATGGTTCCAGAAAAACCCATCGACGACAGTTTCTCTGCCCACATAGTTGTTTTGATGAGAAAGGACACGATTGTACCGTTGTCAATCCCTGTCCCCTTTACATGCAAAATTTTTAGCCCCCCTCCCCCCGTACAATCACCACTCGCACCACTCCCTAACATGCCATGTGAATCAAGTTGAGCGCCTAAAATGTTTCTCATTGTTTGAAACTATGTATCATCTCCTATGCTCAGTTAATTTTTGTAAAGAAATGTGGCTGTAAGATTGCAGTTTATGACCGGGAACTAAGAAAAACAGGAATATACAACTACGTCTAATCTTTATGAAAAACAACTAGATCTAGTGGCGTAGCGAGGTCGGGTGTCACCCGGTGCGGCACTAAATGGTATCACCCCCCAGAGGCATAGCGACCCTTCCCGGGGACAAACTTACAAATTTTCGATTTGCACCCTCCCCCCCCCCCCTCAAACTTTCGAATTGCAAGTTGTTTTTTCTATATATTTTACTATTTTTTTTGCCTTGGTGTCACCCCCCCCCTAAATGGTGTCACCCGTTGCGGTCCGCACCCCCACCCTCCCCCCCCCCCCTCGCTTCGCCTCTGACTAGATCTTGTTATATTTTAGCATACCATATCGTTAAAATAATGAATGCTTATTGCAGGTTTGTGAGCAAAAAGACTCGTGTTAGATAAGTGTTTTAATTGTACCATGTTTTACTTAAAAGCTTTGAATTCAATATATTACGTTTATATGATATCTGTTTAGAACATATAGCCTACTTTTGTTTGCTTAATAAAAGTATGTGCAATTAAAAGACAAAAATTAAAAGTAAATAAAACAAGAGTTTATTTTATACCGTGCACTACAGATATATCGCTGATTATGCAATGATACAGTAAAAAGAAAAAAAAAACTGACCAACACATGATGTGGGGTCTGTAGCGTTTATCTTGTAACCTTCTCTACAGGAACATCTAAAGCCTCCAGGTTTGTTAGTGCAGATTTGTTCACACACAGGGTCAGATGTTCTGGCACATTCGTTGATGTCTGATAGAAATGTGTCAACATTAGTTTAGGGTTTGAACTAAACGTTAATCTATAAATAGTAAAAATATAATGCAGCTGAATAGATCAAAACGAGAGCTTGCATCTTATATTTCTCAGAATCAATGCATTAGACAACATTCCTGATTTTAAAAACATATTTATATTAATTAAATACTAAAGCCATCTATTGGGCAGATGAAGTAGAGTTTATATGTATCTTGACACTCGGCAAATTAATGGATGTCAGCACTATGCCAGCCGCTTTTACTTTCTCTTATTTGTGTTAGATACCCATCACAGCTGGATGGACTCAAAGACGTTCCACTGACTTGAAACCGGGCTCGAATTTGAGACTTTCGGGTTAGAAGTCTTGCTCACTACTACTAAACCACTCCGTTCCATTATTATACACGAGCTGACCCGCGACGTAGCATACGCCTCTATCTAGTTGTTTTATTTTCTACTTATCAACAATTCATAATTTGTGAATTCGACACTACCCCACACCCCCTGCCTACCACCCCCCCCCCCCACCCCGCCTAGTGAAATCAGCCGTTTACAGACGACAATGAAAATATCAAGCAGAACTTATCTCCCCTTAGTTTCAAATTACTTAAAAACTAAATTATCTGCCCCTAATAGCCGTCACGTATTTGAATCGGCTCTACTATTGTAAACATTCGGGGTGAACCACAGCTCACATGACAGGTGGGGATGAGGGTGGTGGCTGAGCTGCGTGGTGTTTTCTATGGTCTCCATGAAGAGAATTATATATACGAGCCGACACGCGGCGTATCATACGCCGCTAACGCCGCTATTTAGTTGTTTTATTTTCTACTTTTCAGTAATTCATAATTTGTGAATTCGACAGTACCAATGCTGTCACTGAAAATATTTGCTTTAAAACACTATCAGTAAGTCGTTAAGGATGATATCCTCCCCCTCCCCTAACCCCCCCCCCCCCACCACGTGAAGAAAGCAGCCTCCTCTTAGCTACCTCCCCTAAGTTTAAAATCGTTTCAAACTAAATTATCTGCCCCTAATAGCCGTCACTAAACCCGGCTCTACGATTGTAAACATTTAGCGTGGACCACAGCTCACCAGACCATGTAGGAGTGGGGTGGTAAGGAGCGCGCTTACAGCTTGTTTTCTAACGTCTCCAAAAAGAGAATTATATATATAGATAGATTATTATTGTAATTTCGGCGTGGTCGAGTCGGTAAAGCTAATGGTTGCTAAACCGAAAGGAGTTGAGATCGATCCTCCGTACAGATGAGGCTCGATAGAAAGGGATAGCAAGTCTTAAAGTTGACACGTATAAATAATTGTACTGTGTCCATGTTCATAGTAGCACACATGTTGAGATGATATTCATATTTTTTTTTAAAAATACTTCTACATTTCCTACCCAGAGTCTTAACGAATATGCCTAACAATGAACAATAGCGTATATGGGAAACTTTAAGCTTATTCTAGATCGATAAAAGGTAATATATTTATGTTTAGGGGTAAATCTTTGTCCGGATTCTCACCACTCGCCCCTATTTATAAAGTTTTAAATATCCCAAAATGTATATTTGAAATACTGCTCGTATTGTAGATATTCTTATTTCAAGGTATTGACAGATATACACACATAAATAAGTACAAAAACTAATAAAGTTTAAGTTTATACAATATTTTAAGTATAAAGATACACATGTTCATGCTGAAACTATAGTAATTGACAATATTACATTTTTTTAAATTATAATTTTAAAAGTTTAGCTACTAGTGTCATATACATCTAACCTGAGCATCTGTTTGGATTTGTTTCACTGATGGCGTATCCAGATTTACATGAACACGAGTAGCCTCCAATTGTGTTGGTACACAACTGTTCACACGGTGAGTGTTTTTTACATTCGTTGATGTCTGAAAATTTTATAAAATTTCAAAATAAAGATATTTGTTTTTAAATTTAAAATACTGTAGCATTTAATTTATTCCTCAAAAACATCATTTTATGTTTTCTAACATGTACATTAAGCAGATATTTCCTAAATGATGTTCTATGCAGAGGCGTAGTGAGGAGGAGGGGGGTCGAGTTGACATATGTCCCCGGGCGCCGACATTAGGGGGAAGGTGCCAAAATGGGTTGGAAAAAAAATTGAAAGTTTGGAGGGGGGATGGGGGTGCAAACGAAAAGTTCGAGGGGGGGGGTGCAAATCGAAAGTTTGTCCCCGGGCGCCAGGTAGGGTCGCTACGCCTCTGGCTCTATGCTATATTTGGCATCTTAATTTTGATTATTAGATGAACTTACCTCGACACTCGTTTTGGTTTGTTTTGCTTATGGTGTATCCAGATTCACAAGAGCAAGAGTAGCTGCCGGGGGTGTTGATACAAATCTGCTCACATGGGGGATCGTGGCGACGGCTGTTGCATTCGTTAATGTCTTGATAAAACATTTAAACATGTTAAAATGTTAATATAGGTATGTGCTTTAATAAGATATTGAGAGTTGGTATTATTTTCTTAATAATTAATGCAGCTTATTATAACACTTTTTAAAATACATAGGATTAATTGAAAATGTTTTTTTTTTTTAATTTAGGACTACGTGTTCAGATATATATATGAAATTTACAAAGATCAATATTAAATATTATAAGTAATAATTACAGGTCAACACACACATCCACATTTATTTTTATGTTACTTTAGATTTACCAAGACATCTTGAAGGATCCCTTTTGCTGATCACGTATCCAGGTCTACAGGAACAGGTGCGGCCTTTCTTTGAGTAATGGGCAAAATGTTCACATCGTGATCTCAGGCTGAGAGCTGGCAAAGTGAAATGTTTAAGGTAAAAACAACGGGGTAAATGTATATTTCTATTTTATAGCAATGAGAACTGTAGCTTGTAAAATGTGAACATTTAGTTTAACTTGCTAAAAGTCATTTATATTTTTAAATAAATGTTGTAACATAAATTTGATACTGTAAATGTCCGTGTAGAAAAACATCATCATGGTTGATCTATCCGTAGCATACATTTGATGTTTAGGAATAAATAAAATTTTGTTCAATAAACACAGTAAATTTAACTCTCCTTTCGTTCACTAGATTGGATATTATTTATTCGATTTTTTTTTAAATAAGCTAAGTTATTCATGTATTACTACGATACATTTTAATAAACTATATCTATACATCAAATCATATTCACTGTTTTAGGAAATCATATTATGTAACTTTTTCAAATAAACTTCGTTATATCTAACCCGAAAGTCTCGATTTCGGATTTCTGCCTTCAGCCGACACGACATCAACACAGCACTGATGTGCACATGACTCTAATTATTTTATTTTTTATCTAGCGAACAAATAAAAAAAATGGATATACCATGCTCAAAGCACACGCAGACAAGCAGTAAAACGTCCAGGATTAGATTTAAACTTGGGGACGTCATGTCGGTGGGTATCAATCTTAAAGCAGAATGTCTGTAGGGAAAGAAAAAAAAACTTTCTTTAAATATGATGGTCCATTCTTAACCATTACACGTCCTGCTTACTATCTATATATATAATTCTCTTCTGGGATCAGTTAGAAAACAAGCTGCAAGCGCCTCCTTGCAGTCCCCTCTCTTTCTCTCTATCACTATCACTACCATTCCCACCCCACCCCAATATTGTCTGGTGAGCGTTGTTCACTCTAAATTTTTACAAAGCTAAATGTTTACAAATCGTAGAGCCGTACAGCCGGGTTTCTATTAGGGGCAGATAATTTAGTTCGATTTTAAACTTACAGGAGGTAACTAAGAAATAACTAAGAGGAGGCTGCTTTCACGGGGGGGGGGGGGGGAGGGGGTGTAGGGTCGGGGTTAGGGGAAAGGGGGGGGGGGTTAGTGTTTTAAAGCAAATATTTTCAGTGGCAGCATTGGTACTGTCGAATTTACAAATTATGAATTACTGAAAAGTAGAAAATAAAACAACTAAATAGCGGCGTATGATACGCTGCGGGTCGGCTCGTACTATTATATTCAACAATCTTCATCTAAGAAACGGGACATAACCTTGGACAGTTATGTGCTTAATAACTAGACTTTTTTTTCACTGCTGAATCGGGTTCTGTTCGCATACAAGTTTCGTTATTATTTTCTGGAAAAAATTCTAAACTTTAAAATGTTTGTCTTTTACAATCTATTAAATCGCTTTAAACTTTGACATCCATGTACATTTTAAGTGTTTGACTGTAATTTATTTAGAGAAAGTTTTGCTGAATATTGATCATTAAAAAAAATCTGAAAATTTTTTTAGCGTAAAAATCTTTTTTAGAGTAACATAATAGTGTTAATGTTGTAGTAGCATTCAAACTCCGATAAAAAATTGCCTTCCCTTTACGATTTTTTAGTAATATAAATATCTTTCATCTAGCTCAATGACTACGATAGAAGAATGAAGTTATATAAAAAAAAAACTCCGTAGTTCAACAACTCTAAAGAGTAATTTGAAATAAGTTGTTTTTTTCACCCCTTATGATATGCTTCACTTGATTCTAATTATGAAGTGGGGTGGTTGGGAGTTGTGTAGCTTGCTTTAAAGCAGCGGGCCTAATTCATGTATACATCAAGCTTTCTACATCAGTGAGCCACTCAAGCGAACCGATGTTATACAAAGGTTATGCAAGTATCAAGAGTGTAGGAAGTGGGGTAGCATTTACAGAAGATATGATACTCTGGCTAGCAAACCCTAAAGCGATACATGTCTAACGCTAAGTGTACACATACCTAGGATACATGTAATCACATACTGATGCTCTTGTAGGAGATTTATCCCTACTCTACTTTTATTTCAACCTTACGGTCTATTTTCTATCAGCACCAGACAAATTGTGTTCTAATTTTTTTCTTGTTATACAATAAAAAATCACAACAAAATACAGCGGGAGTGATCTCCCTTGAACAGAGCGTTCGTTCTTTTATTTATATGTGAAATTTCGTTTATCTCTCTAAAACAGTACTCAAGTTATTGGGTTCGATAAACTAAAAGTAGAATAAATTCCACTCCCGGTTATCGGAAATCGCTGAAAAGTTAAAAAAAAACGACAAATTTGATATAATTCATATTTATGAAATTTTATCAACTTAGCTGTAACTCAAATTATAGTGTTCACAGACATACATACACCCACACACACAGACATACAGACAGAATTGCAAGAACCGATTTTTCCGACTATAGCGCCGAAATTTTGGCAAATCTGCATTTATAATCTTTGCCCAATTAAGATAAGTACTTTATACTCCGATGAAGTACCGAGGTGTAAAACGATGAAAACTGTCATACATTTCATGTGATTTGTGTGCACAATTACAATACTTCCTATATAATCTGTATACGAGAAAGTAAATATCACGCATAGAAAAAATTCACTGAAAATATTTAAATTGGTGTAACCTTAATAACGCTATATGCGTGTATGACTAAAATAAAAGCCTGGGTTCTAACTATTGGAAAATATATCCCCTATTACAGGAAGATCATTGATAGGTGTATGTTCCAAAGATAATATAAGACCCTTGTTGAGTTTTCATCATGAGCGCCCAAGATTTTATTTTTAATCATAAAATCCTCTTATATGTTTAGAAAGGCTATACTAAACAAAATTTAGGCTTTACTTTTAAATGTACAGAATATAAAGAAAGTATTGTAATCGTGCACGAAAATCAGCAAAATATACGCAGAAAAAGCGGTAAAACAATAACTTTCAAACAGCAAATGGGCACAATACTTGAAATATATATATATATATATATATATATAGGCCTATATATATATATATATATATATATATATATATATGTTTTGCGAAATTCTAGATAACACATTTTAACTTAAGTTAAACTCAGAGAAGTAAAATAGATAAAATTCTAAACATTGCCATCCCAAAAACTAAGAGACAAGTGAGGCAACTTGTAGGCCTTATTAGCTATTACTCCAAAATGATCCCCCCTGGCGCTAACAACCCTGGCTACTGGTCAGTATAAAGACTACTATTGTCCTGTCAGAGCGGTCAGTCTCCTTTGAACGTGTCACCTACTGTCCATCCCTACTGTGTACCCTGTAATTATCTAGTGAATAGGTGCTTGTGGAATTCTGACCTAACAGTCATCATATTAATAATAAATAATCTAACGATTTATAAATAAAATATGCCCATACGTTTATAAATTCTTATGCGTTAGCTAACTAGAAAGGTGTGGTAAAATAGTAGAGCATACAACTGCTAACTTGAAAGTCTCGAGTTGGAGTTCAGTTTCAAGTCTGTAAACGTACCAGATTGCTATTGCTGTATTTTTTTTTTTAATTTTTTTTTTCTAGTTTTATTTTGGCCGATTCTAGTCGGAATAAGATACGCATGCGATACGCATGCGCAATGGAGAGAAATTACGACTTAGCGGCGATGTTTTCGATGGTACTGCGCATGCGTGTGTTTACAACCGCAGAACCCTAATACCAACCCTAATCCTATCCTTAACCCTATCCCGCTAATCCTATCCCTAACCCTAACCCTAGCCCTAATCCCATCCCTAACCCTAGCCCTAATCCTATCCCTAACCCTATCCCTAATCCTACCCCTAACCCTCATTCTAGCCCTAACCCTAGCCATAGGTCACTGCGCATGCGCAGAACTATCTTTTGCCGAAAAATCTTATTCCGAGTAGGCACTTCGTTTTATTTTTCCAGTATGACAACTAGAGGCGTAGCTAGGGGAGGGCGGGGAGGGCGGCCGCCCCGGGCGCCGACCCTAGGGGGGCGCCAAAAGGGGTAGAAAAAAAAATTTAAAAGCTCATTTTAAGCTGCAGTTTTAAGCTGCGCTTTTTCGAAGACTAAAATCGGAAAAATTCACATCGGATTAAGGAATAAAAAACCGATATCACTCAGAACCCCACCAGTTTCATATGCGCAATGACCGAACCCTTCTTAATAGTTCTATCGTCCACACTGACAAAATCCGATCGTGAATCATATGAGTCGGCTGTGTGTCTTGACCTCCGCGGATGCCCTGAATTACCGAACCTCTTGGGTTCTATGCAACCCACTGTTCTAAACTCTTTTGATTTTCTTCTTTTTATTCATTTCGGCTTTATAAGGAACATAGGCGTAGGCAACACTTCGTCAACTCACTTGATTTTTAAGAAGATCGAACCCTAATAATCCAGCCTCTCCTGAACGTCATGGGTGTCAGCTATTATCATTAAACCGGTTGTTACAGCTTCTTCATCCAGTACAATTAGTTATTGACTGTGTGCGAGAAGGCAGCGCACATCTGATAAATCCAAGACTTCAGTTTGTTTCCTCAAGCTTGTTTCCTTATACAATCTACCAGTCAATAAAATACCCATATAGCTTTCCAATGTGAACAATGCTTTTGCTATTGTATGTCAATTGTATGACCTTAATCTAACAAACTTATAATCCAACTATGTACTATATCAGGGGTCTCCAAACTACGGCCCGCGGGCCGGATGCGGCCCGCAAGGTCCTCTCATCCGGCCCGCGGAGATCTTTTTGTCCACGGAAAAAATGTCTGTTAGAGGTGGCTGAGGAACTTTGCCCATAAAATTCAAAACAATATGAAAATGCAGCTTTAGGTGCAAATACCCTTGCATACCTTGTTGCAGACATGGGTGAAAACATCGTGACTCAAATAGCGAAAAATGCAAGCACGTTTCACTATTTTTTAATTGCAATGGATAAGTCGATGGACAGCTCAACTGCTTGTGTTCATTAGGGGTGTGGATGAAGATATGAACATAACACAAGAGCTGGCTTCCCTACATAATATGTATGGCACTGTTACCGGAGAGGATATATTTAATGAGTTTAAGAAAACATTTGCTGATTATAACTTGGACTGGACTAACCTCAGTTGACTGATGATGAGGAAAAGTACATTAGTAGCATAAAGAAATGCTTGGTTGGACAAGTGAATGAGAAAAATAAAGATATATATGGACATTAGCAATGTACTGAATCCTGTGGTGAAGATGGCGAATTTAATAAGGTCACATGGGCTCAACCATAGATGTAGAATACATGAAGAATAATTTGAGAGCAAACTTTGACCTCGAGTGTGTTGTCGGCCCTCGACAGTGTTTTTTTCAGATTGGGGGGGGGGGGGCGGCACTTGAAATGTGTATATATTTCTATATGGACTATATGTTTTAGTGGGGGGGGAGGGCGGGGCGGTGGACTTTTTTTGTTGGGGGGGGGGGGGCTCCATAAAACCGAAGATATGCCTTGAAGAAACTCTGGCCCCCGAACTGATATTTGATAGTCAATGCGGCCCCCGGTCTGAAAAGTTTGGAGACCCCTGTACTATATCATAACAGAGACTGTTCCAAAGATAAAACATAAAAAGACTGTCCTAAACGAATTAGCACCGCTACAATTTTTATTTTTTTCGGACATTACTAATCATCTTGTTTTAAAGGATAATGCATCTTAAGGGGAATTTAATTGGCGACGAGTAAAGTTTTAGGGAACGACAATCATACAGCGTAATTATTAATTTCTTTCCGGACTGTCGCACACACACACACACACACACACACACACACATATATATATATATATATATATATATATATATATATATATATATATATATATATATATATATATATATATAGGGGCGCCAAACTGAAAGTTCGCCCCGGGCGCCGGGAGGGGTCGCTACGCCTCTGATGACAGCAAGCAGTGTTTGTGTAGCTATTGTCAAAAATATAATTATTTGTATATTTTTAATCATTATAACACCAATTACATATTTTAATCACAGTATCTAAATTCACTATAATTTTAATTTATAATGCCTTTCCTTCCAATGTAAGTTCAAGATCTGCGTATAAAACATTACATAATATTTTTGTTTTAATTTGTCAATCATATACCAGAATACAATCATACGAAACATGCAATAGAGTTACAGATCTAATATGTTTTAACATACCTGCTTTTATAAGAAGATGAAAATCAGCTCGTACTTTTTAAAGTCCTCAAAGGAACCTAGGTATACACTTTCACAACTCTAGGTTCGCTTCTACTCTACAGCTGTCCGTATATAAATGTAAGACAAAATGACGTATCCATGCTATTCCAATATCTGTGACACTTTTAGTTTACCAGACCGTAAATGATAAAAATGTTTTGCGTTTCAATCAAACTCGTCTAACTAGTTTTCGACGCCAGTGTGCTATTGAAATATCTGTATTTATGTTGCATGATAATTTATACCATTCAGTTATGTTTAGGTTTAGTTATTAGATATATTTTAAAAACGTTTTTGAGTTTACTCTAACGATGCTGGCATTAAACAAATGTAAACACAAGTTAAAATGTATGCTATTTTTGTGGTAGAGTGATGATCAACATGAATCGCAGTAACTGGGGTCTAAACGCTTAAGTTTATTATTACTTTCTCGTATACAGAGTATATTGTAATCGTGCACACAAATTTTGACAGTTTTCACCTTTTACACATCATTACTTCATCATATAGAGAGTTTAGAGGACTTTTTTTTTAATTGGTTAAAAATAATAAATGCAGAGTTATAAAAATCTCATCGTTCTATGCGTAATCGAATAGGAAAAACTGGGCTTTTTAATTCTGTCCGAACATCTCTATGTGCTCGTATGTAAGTCTGTGTTATATAAGAATATTCGAGAATGTTTAGGGGAGATTCACCCCCTTCCCCGGTTTATTTTAATTATGTTTCTTTGTAGAATTATATGTGTGTGTTGCTTTCGGTGAGGTGAAAAGTATCGTTGAAATGGAAAACTCCAACCCAAAACTATTGAGTTCAGATCCTTATATCGATGTTTTAGGTCGTCCCCTAACCTAGGTGTCTCTCGTGTCCAAATTACATGTGTATTGCACTGTGGGAGGATGTAAAAACCTGGTGGAAACCCGTCTAATTTCATAGAAAAGAAATGCTCTATCTTATGCAATGGACATTTTCTGTGCAAACATTTATATAATCAGCGGCTAATTTAGTATGCTGTTACGAAATCGCATTTAATATAGCTCCCCTTATTTACGATCTAATTGCCGCCAACCCTACGACCCACACCCCCAACCCCCAAAAACACACATCAACGACACACGTCTATGCCTCAATTCCTTTTTATGCATACAGCCCCCCTCCAATGTTACAAGATTATATTTAAGTGCGCTAAATCATGTTTTAACGGTATGTGTTCTCCCACAATCCTTTTCTATCCCGTACAATCCGATATACTACACTTATGCTAATACCTATCTTATACATAACAAGGTGTTGTGAACAAGAATTGAGACAGAGTAGTCGAATTGTAGAGCTTACGACTGTTAACCCGAAAGTTACGAGTTCGAATCCAGGGTACCCAACTCACGTCAGGGAAAGTAAAGGCAGCTGGGCATAGTGCTGACCACAGTCTCCCTTCATGAACTCTACTTCACTTGCCCCATGGACGATCAGGTTGAAAAGGCAACTTTACTAGTAGAAAAGAATAAAAAAAAACACACCATCAAAACTGTCTGAATGAAACAATATCCACTATTCATTACAAACAAAGGCATGGTAATGTAGGCCTTTCTATAGGCTTTACTAACCATGTATGCAGAGTTTCTTCCAGGCATCTCTTCGGGGGGGCTAAGCCCCCCCGAAAATTTTTTACCGCCCCCCCGAACGAAATGAAATTTATATATTTTATATAGAAAATATATACTTTTAACAGTGTCCGCCCCCCCGAAGAAAGTTTACCGCCCCCCCCCCCCCCCGAAGATTTCAAGTGCCCCCCCGGAGAAAATAGTCTGGAAGAAACACTGCATGTATGCACACAAAAAAACACATTCAGATCTCTATTTTTAACATCCCCCAGACCCTAGATGTTGGAGAGATATTTTAGGCTGGGATATAAAATCTCAACCTGACAAAACGCTTACACAAAGCTTATCGATGCATGTTAATCTCGACAGTTCGTTGGGCGTTGACTCGGTTCAAAACGAGAGATTTTTTTATGGAGAGGGGGTATACAAATTATGTGGGCTATAATGAACTGTCAAGTAGAGCAGAACGTAAGAAGATTTGTAACCCCACTTTAACTTCGATAAAATAGAAAACATTCGGAGATTGGATAATGACTCAGAGCAGTGGCGTAGCGAGGTCGGGTGTCACCCGGTGCGGCACTAAATGGTGTCACCCCCCAGAGGCGCAACGACCCTTCGTGGGGACAAACTTTCAATTTTCGATTTACAACCCCCCCCCCCCCCCCCTCAAACTTTCGATTTGCACCCCCTACCTCTATTATGTGGAATTATCATTTTTCTATATACATTTTGCTATTTTTTGCCTTAGAGTCACCCCCCCCCAAATGGTGTCACCCGGTGCGGTCCGCACCCCCCGCACCCCCCTCGCTACGCCCCTGACTCAGAGGTATAGTGCAAGAGAGAATAGTGTTTATGCTAAGACGTAATACATCGCACAGAATGTTTGATTAATAAGTGTGAAAATTGTATATGAGTTGTTTATAGATCTGTGAGTAAAGTATTGCTAGGAATTAACACATTGCTTGCATTCATGAAAGTTGTATTTCGAGACGGCGGAGTAGGATGGTAAAGTCTATGACTGCCAACCCGAATTTCTCGAGTTCGAATCACGGGTTCGTTTTTGTAGGACGTAACTCTACTTTAATCGTCTTGCGTACCTTGGGCACAAACGAAACAAAATGGTAGTATATTAGGAAATATATATATATATATATATATATATATATATATATATATATATATATATATATATATATATATATATATATATATATATACATACATATAGGCAGGCCTATATATATGCGTGTGTGTCTGTCTACCTAGGACTATAATTTAAATATATGCCAAATACGCGTACATGCATGTGTATAAGCTTTAATCACCACTTCAGACTTAATATACCGTTGGATGTAGCATTGATTTTCTCTATAGTTAGCACGTTTACGTCATGGCTTCACCCTACCCATTGTAATAATCATTTATTTGGGCTATTTAATTTTAATAAATCATTAATGGAACTGGCAAAAAGCATTATTCTTCTGTACATTTTGCAATTTTTTGCCTTGATGTCACGCCCCTAATTGGTGTCATCCGGTGCGATCTGCACCCCCGCCACGCCCTCGCTATGCCTCCGTACTACCGGAACGGCCGCGTCGGTTGGTAGATTGAAGAGCGTACGACTGCTACGCTGTTACTTTCTTCAAGGTAAGTAAGGTTCCCATCATAGCAGGTTCACAAATATTATATCCACTTATTATTATATTGTGTCAATGATATTAATACTAACATGTGTACATACAAGTGTAACATAGTTAAATGTAAAAGAAAAATATCTAAATAAATGCACATATTCTTAATTCCTAGTCATAAGCTTTATACATTGTACTGCTCGATATAACATTAACACCAAAAACTTTAGGAAACTTTAGATAAGGGGGTTCTTAAACTTAGGTACCCCACCAGTTTCAATAGTGCATTCACCAAACCCTTCTTAATGGTTATTGTCACACCCCATTTTGTCTATACGTGTGACTTACTTGATAACTCAAGATTTCTGTTATACTTTTATTTACACAATATACATATCGCCCCCTCACACGGGGCATCATATTCACAAATATCCAACATCATGAAATAGAAATAAGAGTATCCATAAAATATTACATTCGTTATTGAAAAACTTCCAGACACAAAATTACGTCTTTTCTCACCAAGTCTCAGAATTACACTCTATCCAATATGGCTACCCGATCGCACTACTTTTTTCATTCGCGCCTTTCCACAATTATTTTGAGTTTTATCTTCATACATAGCCTTCCCACACCCCCATTCGTAACATTCATTCACCCCACACAAATACTCCCACATTTGACTGTTACAGTTATATATTCCTAGTTGTCAAAATTCAAATGTGAATCATGAATCGGGTGTGTGTCGTGACCTCCTCTGACTTTCTTGACTGAGACTGACTTATCGTACCCTTGGGGCTCGATCGAAACCAGGGTAAGATTTACTGCTCTTATATCGGCTGTAACAAAAGCCTTCAGTAGCTTCAACTATCATCGGGACGTTTATTAACTCAAATTACTAAAAAAAAATTCTACTTTATCAAAGAAGTGACGATTGACACGAAAACAACAGTACCTTATCTTCAGACTCAGAACAGGCCACAACAGACTAAAACAGCACATGCATAAAAAACTAAAAATTGGGTGTGGCGAAACTTGATTTTTGGTATGGCCCCGAAGAATACAGAGCACGTCCTTCAGGACTGTTCCTTACATAGCTTGGCACGATCTAAACACTGGCCCCTATACACCCCACTCAAGGAAAAACTATATGGGGCACCCACGGATCTGGAGACTATAGTCCAGTTCATACACGAAGTTGGGATTGTTGTTTAAATCCTCCTCCATAAACTAAATTAAGAACACAGAACACGCAAAAAAAAAAAAAAAGAAGAGAAGTGTGAAACATAAAAGACATCAAAGTCATCGTCGTCAATAATCTACTGACACAATCGAAAACATACGACTGTTTTTTTTCTTATATAAATGTCAAGGACTGTGATTAACATTTCAAGGAAATTTACTCACATTAAATGTAATTAATTAAAACATAAATTTAAACGCTAATTAAACATTACCTCACCTGACATCTTTTCCATTTAATTCAACTCAACTCAGTTGAACTCTGACCTAATTCAACTCCAACTTAATTAAGCTAAATTCAATTTACCTAAACGGAATACATAAATTTAAGTTCATGTATTTCATCGTCCACATTTATGTGTACCCTGAGAAGGCAACATTATTTGTTTAGTATATAACAGACTTCACTGTATTTTAGTATATGTACATAAGTATTCTACGGGGCTATGTTGAAGGGTAGTAAGAATCGACAATTGTATGTTCTATTAGTTCTGTCAAGTGTACTAAGCTTATACAGATTTTATAATTGTGTAACTGTAAAGAAATCTCAGTGCAAATCAAGTATTGATATTAAATTATGATCAAAGTTAACCTGCTTATAAATATTATTCTTACACTACGAACGAATTAAGAGTGACAGCTAAGAAAGAAATATGGTGTAGTAGGCCTACCTAAAATGGGAGTCAACTCTAGATATATTAACATTGCAAAAAATATCTTGATTATTCATCATGTACAGTTTAATTGTATTGCTCACTTTTTTTTTTCATTTTCTCGATGTGTAATTTTCAATCAATTTTATTTAATTACTTTAATTTAGATATCGAATTAAAAAAAAGAGAAAAAAAAATCGTATTCAAATGCAGCATATCTATTGGTGCAAACAAATAGCTGTTTTTTTTTCTTAGTTTGACGAAAACATTTCTCGTCATTCGTTAATCTAAATTAAAATTACAGTTTCGTCCTTCCTAGTTAGTATACAATAATTACTCATTTTGTAGCAAGTAATGTTTTTTTTTATAAAGTTTTTGTTCAATTTAAAAAACAAAATATTATTGCACTTTTTATCTTAATTTGTAATATTGTATTGCTAATTTATATTTTGAGTAATTTCACTTTCTCGTATATATATTTGGCGTTCACTGGTGTATAATTATTTTTTCTAGGAGATTTCATTCTATTTTAAAAAGTTTAAGTATTTAAAATGGATTAAAATTTATGTCTATATCCCCAGTTCCCACCAATGTTTTTTTTAATATAAGAATATTCGAGAACGTTTAGGGGAGATTACTACCGGTTTATTTGTTATTGTTATTTAAAATAGCTTTAAATTATCTTTGCTATAGAAAAAATATCACATTTTTTACACCTAATTGGTGTTATAATTAGGCCGAATGTAGTCGAAAAAAGACTAGAGGAGTAGAAAATGAGGGTGAGGATAATCGTCCGTCACTAGCTACTGATAGTGTTTTAAAGCAAAATATTTTCAGTTGCAGCATTGGTAGTGTCGAATTCACAAATTATGAATTACTGAAAAGTAGAAATAAAACAACTAAATAGTGGCGCACGCAACGCCGCGGATCGGCTTGTATGTTATACTTAAAAATAATAGAACTATTTGCCAGATATACTATAACTAACCATAAACCCTCAACCCCTGACGACTCGCCTGTAACGCAGCTGCTCGGCCACACGGTACAGATTGTTTTGCCTATAAAATATATAAAAGCTATAAAATCATTAATTGAGTACATTGAACAGCTATTTAATTTGAGCCAATGGCGCAGCTATTTAGGTCATTGCGTCTTTCATATTTTACTGACAATATAGCGCTGGGGGAGGGGGAGGAGAAGCTTTTTCCGAGCAGTCACTTCAAAAGACTTATGCTCTTCGGTGTGCAATATTTTCTCGTGTTTCCTATGTCATGTGGCTTCTGTGTAGTTGCGACTAAGTCAGCTGGCATATTGTTACACACTTATTCAAAGTTTTTCATTTTTTATTTTATCAAACAAATTATTAAAACTTAACGTCGAAATATGACTATACAATACATAGTTATAAACTAAAAATAACCAAAATATAATTAAAATTTCAAAACGTGTTGTTAAGTATTAGTAAACTTAACACATCCTAAACAAGTATTTCATTGTATCCAAACCCTTAAAACGAAGCCCATCTGGGGCGCCGAAAATTGGCGTCATTATTCTTCTATTTCGTTCTTTAGTGTTGAAGGGATCGAGCCTAATCTGCCAGAGGGTTTGAACTCGAGACTTTTTTCAAATTTATCAACCATGAGCTTTGGCCGAATCGACCACGCCTCCGTTACAATTTAGGATACGTGTCAACTGACTCCGATTTCAGCCTGCAGTTGTTTCTTCTTCTTCTTCGTTCTTAATTATTACTTTTTGACACGTTTTTAACACGTTTTTCTTAACTCAGCTTCGCGTTTGTGGATGTGTGGATTTGTTTGTTGTTAAAATTGACATCGAAAATTAGCCCACTTCTGATTGCTCTAGAGACCTGAAATTTGGCATGCATGCTACTTTCGCCTAACGATTTCAGATGCAATCATAAAAACTAGCAATTAGAGACCGTAATTAGCTTAATTTAATTACGCCCAAAGGACCATAAAATTGAGGACATGATTTCTAAAGATACCGACAAGACTGGAGGCTTGTTGACACAGTTACTTCGGCCCCAATCGATGTGAGCGCGCTGGCCGTGATCGTATAGTGGTTAGTACTTCGCGTTGTGGCCGCGACAACCCAGGTTCGAATCCTGGTCGCTCAAGATTTTTTTAGTCCGTGTATTTATAAACACTTAGTCAATTCATACTTAATCAAGTCATTAGATAAAGTAGAAAATAAACTATATAAAAAACTTTTTTAAAAACCACGTTTTTCATGTGTAGCAACGGACTAAAAAGGAGAAAATAAAATACTTAAAAAAAACTTTTTAAAAAACCACGTTTTTCTTGTGGACTAAAAAGTAGAAAATAACTATTTACATACATTTGATGACAAAAAACGTGGGTCGGGCAGATGGGTCGGGAAATTTGATGGTGAACGTACCCACGTTTTTTGTCATCAAATGTATGTAAATAGTTATTTTCTACTTTTTAGTCCACAAGAAAAACGTGGTTTTTTAAAAAGTTTTTTTTAAGTATTTTATTCTTAACTCAGCTTCGCGTTAGTGGATTTGTTTGTTTGTTGTTAAAATTGACATCGAAAATTAGCCCACATCTGATTGCTCTAGAGAGCTGAAATTTGGCATGCAGGCTATTTTCGCCTAACAATTTCAGATGCAATCATAAAAACTAGCAATTAGAGACCGTAATTAGCTTAATTTAATTACGCCCAAAGGACCATAAAATTGAGGACATGATTTCTAAAGATACCGACAAGACTTGAGGCCTATTGACACAGTTACTTCGGCCCCAATCGATGTGAGCGCGCTGGCCGTGATCGTATAGTGGTTAGTACTTCACGTTGTGGCCGCGACAACCCAGGTTCGAATCCTGGTCGCTCAAGATTTTTAGTCCGTGTATTTATAAACACTTAGTCAAGTCATTAGATAAAGTAGAAAATAAACTATATAAAAAACTTTTTAAAAAACCTCGTTTTTCTTGTGGACTAAAAAGTAGAAAATAATTTTTTCTTTTGTGCTTCCTCGAGCTGTGCAGGTTCTTCATCTTGTGATGACTGACAAAAAACGTGGGTCGGGCAGATGGGTCGGGAAATTTGATGGTGAACGTACCCACGTTTTTTGTCAGTCATCACATGATGAAGAACCTGCACAGCTCGAGGAAGCACAGAAGAAAAATTTATTTTCTACTTTTTAGTCCACAAGAAAAAAGTGGTTTTTTAAAAAGTTTTTTTTAAGTATTTTATTTAGTGTTGGGAGGGATCGAGCCTTATCTATCTGCCAGAGGGTTTGAACTCGTGATTTTTTCAAATTTATCAACAATGAGCTTTGCCGACTCGACCATGCAGCCATCACAATTAAGGATTACGTGTCAACTGGTTATGCGCCATTGAGGCCATTGACTCCGATTTCAGCCTGCTTTTCTTTTTGGATTTGCTTCCATAGCCTTTGTCCAACCAAGAGCAAGCTACAAGGCAGCTGTTGTTTAATTTTGGAGTTGTCTCTCCTAGAAAAGTGGCTGTCCCCAGCTAACGAGCCTCAACTGCCCGAGGGTTCGAACTCGAGACTTTTCGGTTTAGCAACCATGAGCTTTACCGATTCGACCACGCCGACCCCGTCATTCTATTTTAAAGCTACCCCCCTTCCTACCCGCAAACAAACACACATATTCCTTCCAGTGTTATGCATCTTTCACCTACATAAAAAAGCAACTTTGAATGTCTATGTAATGCAATTTTAATTTATTTAAATTTAAAACATGAGTAAATGTTTTTATAAAACTCATATGGTCATTATTGTGTTTGATCCATTAGGGTTTTGTTTCTTATATATTAATTAAAATGTACAAATAGAAAACACTTATAAATGTATTTATTTCATAAAAAGTTCTCGACGTTTTCTTTAATTTCGTGTTTGAGTCTTTCATGCAGTTACTTAATGTACTTGTTATAAGAGGGCCTATAGTTTTGCAAAACAATTCTAGTTGATTTCTAAGTTAAAAATAATAATAATAATAAAACTGAAAATTGTTCTATTTTTTTTTCAGAATTTTCTTTTAAATTAAAAAAAAAATTACTAGCCAATGTACTTGCAATTTTATTTTTCAGAAGAAAAAAAAAACTAGCAAAAAGTATATAATCAATCTTTCTTGAATTGACAACATATTTTATTGATGTTTAAGTAGAGGCAGAATATGTATCATTCAATTTAATATATCATTAACATTCTTTTGAAAAGACAAAACGATACTTAAATATTTTCGACATGTCAATTAGCATTTTATACCCAGAGTGCAACTACTTTTTTTAACGTTATTTTGCAAAAAAAAATGTACATTGAGGAAATCTGTATGTGATATAATATACACTTTTAGTAGTTAAGATGATAATTAAGAAAAAAAAACAAATGTATAAACTTAATCCAATATTATCCACACGTTTAAAGTAAGATAATGTACCCATATAATACACTAATTTGTACATGAATATAAAACCACTGACTATTTAGATAATGTGCTTGCCATGGTTCTTACAAAGACAGATGTAATTTGATAAATCAAATCATTGAGCAGCGAAGAAAACTTTTTGTTGACGTGTCCGTGTTTGTGTCCGTCTCGGTTCCATCTAAGATGTAGTGGGAGCAATATTTTGATGTTTTGGAATAGGCATATCCAACACATCTGGGAGTAGCCATGCACAAGTCGAAACAATCCTGTATGCGGTATTAATAGGTAACTGATTAAACATACACATATAATTTAAGGCTAACTATACAGATACGTTTTCAATACCATCTTTTCGTTAGTGTATTATTTTTGTATTGGCTTAAATGATTCACAAAATACTAGAAATAAGATGCTTGTGATGTATATATATAAAAACAATATTTTTATTATATTCACTAATCACAAAAGAAATTACAAATTTAAAAATGCAATAAAAAGTAAAATATACATTTATCTGATGCAACCTTACAAAAGCTGTATGCTATTATGACTAAATAAAAAAAACACACACACATAATAAGCAAGCTAAATAAAAGCCTTTAAATATAACATACAATTATAATTGATAAGTAATAATTGAAAGTAAAATAAAACACTACTTGATTAAATTTGTCTATAAATTCAAACAAACACTATTAAAGAGAGAAGATGTACATAATTAAAAAGATCAAATCATCACCTTGTGCGTACTGTAAGCTTGGAATGTAGGGCGAAGAGACGAATATGCAGAGCAGTCATCTGTTTAAATATATATATATATATATATATATATATATATATATATATATATATATATATATATAAATATATATTTAAATCTGTATAGTTATATATATATATATAATTAAGTATATATATATATATATATATATATATATATATATATATATATATATATATATATCTAATATATAAAGCTCAGTTCTGTATGTAACGCATATGTTTGTCGTTGATCTTGGATGGATTTAAGTGTTAGACAATTATCGTGCGCATTTGTCTAAATTTATGAGTTAAAAAATTACTATTGAAAGTGTTGGGAAATAATTTTCATTTTTCAAATTATAGTAATAATTGTCGGCATGTTCATTAAACACAAGTTTAAAAAAAATATCATCTTTTACAAAAATTCTAATTATGTCTTTATTTAGTCCTATAGCACTTACTTCCCTTTGATAAATTAGGAAAAACACAATTACTTCCCTTTATAAAACCATTGCATTTGTGGAAAAGAATTTACTTTTTAATTACTTTGTTTTGGTGTTGGGAAAAAAAATAATTACATAATTAGCGGGGATTGATCAAGTGCAAACGTTGTAGGTATTTTACGGATAAGCTTGGAGTATTAAATTTGTTCATTAAATTGAAACAGGCGCGTTCGTTTAAGTGAGTGCAAAAGACTATGAATAAGTTGGGGTACTATAGTCGTTTATTAAGCTAAAACAGGTGATTCCGCCCCGGGCGTTTATGTTCGCGTTAGTGTTTTCTTTGTGTTTAGGTGGGTTTGCGTAAGTGGTTGCGTTTTGATTTGGTTCGTTTTTGTTCTTTCTTTTTTCGTTTTTGTTTGTGTTTTTTTGTTTGGGTTTGTATTTGTGTTTTTGGTTGGTTTTGCGTTTGGATTTTGTTTGTTTTCGTTTGCTTTTTCTTTGTTTTTGTTTTTTTTTTGGTATTAGTGTTTGTGGTTGGGTTTGTTGTTAGGCTTTTGTTTTCGTTTGCTTTTTTGTTTGTTTTTTCTTTGTGTTTGTATTGGTGTTTGTGGTTGGGTTTGTTGTTAGGTTTTCGTTTTCGTTTGTATTTGTAATTGTGTTAGCGTTATGTTTGCGTTTTGTTGTTTTGGTTGGTTGTGGTTTGGGTGGGCAATGCCGGTTTATGATGATTACTAAACACACAGGTGATGGTCTTTAACAGAAAGGTTTTTCACAGAAGCCAGAGCAGGGCCTGGCCTGGACGGCTAGTATATATAAAATTATATATATATATATATATATATATATATATATATATATATATATATATTATATATATATATATATATATATATGCATCGAGGGTGACACCAGACCTAACGACGCCACTGCATACTTACATACATTATATACAAATATAAATAAAACACGCACGCATGTGGATATACGTATTTGTACGTTAATTGCATTAAAAAAACCTCACCTGATATATTGTTACAGGTGATGTACGGATTGACTTCCAAATCATCATTTTCCGTGTCTATTGCGTCGCCAGTCACCAACTTTAATTCACAACTTACTCCAGCTGTGTATATGTAGGAATAACATAAGCGATTCGCTGAACACGTTTCAAAGCAAGCCTGTATTTTGAAACACATAGGAAAATTGATGAAAGTTAACATGTTTTGTAAACTTTAATGCGAATTTTAATAATTGATTAGCAGGTACATGAAAGATAAATTTGCCCTAATAAACTGAAAGTGTTGTTTTTTTTTAACTTTATTAGATAACCACAATGTTGAACATTTGGTTTTATGAAATAACGCTAAATTTTCTGATTAAAATTGATTGGATATAAAAACAACAAATCATTTTTAAAATTAAAAAACATATTTTTCCGAAAGTTTTCTTTGAAATAAATCGCCAGCAGACTAATAGAGTTATTATAGAATAACCAATAATTATGTGATCATTATATTTGTTATTTTTTAAACTCCAATAAAGATTGTTTTTATTCCAAGACGGCCGCTGTTGCCATGGCAACCACATTTACAGAAAAGTCACTGATGCTCCCTAAGAAATTTACCCTTAAACACCATACCTAGGATACACACACATACTTAAGCAAGGCATATTAATTAAGAAACATGTTCTCTATGTATACGTTGGATACATTACTATACTTATAAATCATGCCAGGTATAGTTTTTTAAATGTCTAGACTCTAGAGGAAAAACAATTTGATTTAAACGCAATCTAGAACTACATATAATAAATAAAGTAGAATCATACGTTTATTATAGAGGAATAAATATCGTATGTCGTATACGACTGAACATGAGTCTTTTTTTCAAATTTACTGAAGTAATATACAATTGTACATATATTACTTAATGGCAAAGTAACACTGAAAATATTTTGTTTTTACTTTCTTTTACAATAAAATGCGTACATTTGTATGTATTTAATACTGAATGTTTTTATAATACATGTATTAGAGATTATATACAGTATGTTTTTCGCAGTTTAAGAACAATCATATAGCTTGTTAGGATAAAAAATATTAAGATCGATAACTTACATTTTCAATAAATTTTTAAATGTTATACCTTATTTGTCAAATTCGTGTAGGTTTGAGAGGTTATAGATGAGTATGCATTACACTGTGCTGGAAAATAAAAACAAAAGAAATATAGACTAGTATTGCCCGTTTATATAGGTAGATGTGTACAATTATGTAAATGCTTCTTAAATTTAAATAACATAGTTACTCAGCTTTGCTGTTATGAACTGACAAAAAGTGTATTTGATAATTACAATTTTTTACTTTAAAAAAAATTAGATACGAAAATGTAATACAAAGCATCGTACGTATGTGTGTTAAATTGTAATAATATTCATAATGCTATGTTTATTATATAATATACATTTTTACAGGGACAAAAACTATGTTATTTTTTTAAATACATTTATTTGCTTAGGAGAAATGCTTTTTCAACTTTCCCCTACATGTGTCGTATATAAAATTAACCTTTTATTTCGAGTAAGATGCCTTCAGGCAAGTGGAATTTGGGGAAAACGTTCGGGGATCCCATATTTAACATAAGAAAAATGTACGTGCATTTATTAAGTATGTATACCTTTGCACATAGAAGTATCTGTTTCAGAAACACTATAGCCCGGATCACATGAGCACGAGTAGCTTCCCATAGTGTTTGTACACGTATGATGACATGGGCTTTCTGTTTTGTTACTGCATTCATCCACGTCTAATAAAACAAAGAAACTTTAAGCCTTCAATCAAATAAGTAGTATACTACATTAACATGTTTAGTGTTAAATATATAATCTAACAAACTGAACGACCACTCGCTAAAATCCTATGTAAGTCAATATATTTTACAAATATGTCTAGATGTATCGGAGAGCAAATTATTCATCTTTGAAATAATATAAAATCTCACACACTAGCTAAAAATGTAAGCTTAAATAAAATGCGCAGTAAGTTTGCTGATGAGAATGGACAGACGAAAAAAAAGATCAGAGATTTATAAATACGTCTAATTTATATCCCACAAGCGTGCTCGTCCCCGCGCGTTTCCGCGGTCTCAAAAGAAAGTCTTAAGGACAGTCACAGGCTTGCGTGGGCAAATAGCCTCATGACGGGGCAGGGGCGGCCGCGCCTGATTCAATTCAGTGAACGACTATAATACTACATCTTATCTATATTCTATCGCACTCTTTAAAAGGAACGTATGCACCGTTTCATTCAAGGGATAGCCCTGGCGAACGGATGAAAAGTGTAGTCATGCATACAAGAAAATAACGTCTGGCGAAAATGTTAGGTGGGTTTCATCAATGCTTTACCAATCCTATATTCTTAGAAGCATGACCTTGTTTTCTAAAACTTGTTATTTAAATGTAAACAATGCCTGCGAATAGATCATATTTATCGAGACACGAGTTTACCTACACTACCGCCCAGCACGCCATAAATGTACGTTAACCACTCGCCGCCTAAATGTCGGGGACCTAAAGGACCGATCTCGTGAACGACCCTTTTAACTTACCGCTGGGGCGCCACGTACAGCCTCTGGCTCGGTTTAATCATAGAATATCGTGCGCCGCCTTGGCAATATTGTAGTGTGCTCCTTAAAACTAAAGTAGGCGTCGTTGCGCTCACGAGAAAGCCCAAGGCGCCGAATAGCACCCTACAGGGGCACCTGAGGACGCACCTGATTCAATATTATAACGATTATTGTTGCCCTTCGTGTTTTTAGTGTATAGTCTTCTATAGACATACATTGCTTTTTATATAGGCCTAAATAGATAGGCTTACACATTACATTTTTGTAGTTGTATTTTAACAATATCTTTGAAATAATACGCTATTGCTAGTGGTAGGGTTATTTATAAATATAATATTAAATATAATATTAAATACTTAATATAATCGGACAGTGTTTAATTAAATATATTGATACAATCTATTCCAATTATATGGCATACGTTTAGAGCAAATCGTGATTATTAACACAATTTTCATTTACAAAATCATACCAAATTAAAAGACAAAAACTATAGGCAAAATAAAATATGATTTTTGTATTTTATGTACCGTACATTATGTATTTAAGATTCATCGTTGATCATACAATGATAGAGTAAAAAATAACAAACAACTGACCAATACATTTGCTGGGGTCTGTCGTACTTATATTGTAGCCATCTCTACAGGAGCAGGTAAAGCCTCCAGGTTTGTTGGTGCAGATTTGTTCACACAGAGGTTTAGATGTTCTGGCACATTCGTTGATATCTGATAGATATTTGTCACAAGCAGTTTAGTGTTTCAAGTTAACTAAACATTATATATATATATATATATATATATATATATATATATATATATATATAGCATTTAAAATGTTGAAAGAATAAATATCACACTAGAGCAAGCACTGTATATTTTCAAAATCAATACATTAAACATCGTTCGTTGTTATAATCGGCATAAAAAGTCTATGTAATTATACTAAATTAAAAAAAAAATCGTTTTAAAAATATGGTAATCGGCAAAATTATAGGGCTTAAAGGGCTAAAAATCAAGTCAGATTTTTTACAATTATGCACTACTATTGACGGGTTTCACTAATCGTTAAAACACAAATTTTAATGTATACCATATATCAATTACTTCTGTTTAAAACGGACCAACACCTACTTGAAATGCAGAGGCGGAAATAGGAAAAAAGGCTCTCCTGAATACAAAAATATTGGGCCCCAATATACATATTTAAGTGAATGAATTGTACTATGAATTACATACAATTATAAACATTTTCAAACATAATTATGTGTTATGGTAAACCTATAAACGCTATTAGTAGCACCTAGGACCTTTGACCACAGGTGCTTTGACCATAGGGGGTTTGACCATAGGGGGTTTGACCACAGCGGAGCTTTGACCATAGGGGCTTTGACCATAGGGGGTTTGACCACAGCGGGCCTTTGACCATAGCGGTGCTTTGACCATAGGGGGTTTAATCATAGGGGGTTTGACCATAGGGGGTTTGACCACATGTGTTTTCTCAGCAGAGGGTCTTTGATCACAGGTTGTCTATCAACGGGTGTTTGATCACAAGCGCTGTGTCCGGCTTTGATCATAGGTGTTTTGTCCACATAGGGTCTTTGATCTCAGGTGTTTTGTTTCCAGTTGAAACTTGGAATCAAATGCACACGATTGGCGATGATGTAGCACGAACAAATAAATGTGTGAAGGATGGCAGTACAGTCTTCAGTCTCTCCTCCAATGTAGTCACCCAACAATGTGGCGTTTCCTTGAAGGTCTACAGATGGACTGCACACGGCAAAAGACAACTTTCTTGCAAGGTGTCGCAGGGGCAAGCCACCCAGCTGAGAAGCGATACAAGATGCTGCACGAAAAAGTACAACGTGCTGTCCAGACATATGGTCAAACATATGTACTGACATATTTGCGTGCTATAGCATATCTGTCATTTAGTTAACCATTTTATGTATTACATCTTTGACTATATTGTTGGCAAATTTTGTATCATTTTTTATCCTTTATATATGCTATGTATTTTTAAGTACATCTACATTATTTATTTGTGAAACTTGTTATATGTCGCATTATTTGTGTTTCATTTATATTTAAAATAAATCTATGAGGCCTAGCACCAGCCTTTATGTGGAGACTAAAATAGAGTTCTTGGCTTTTTTTAAATACATGTTAATTTCTATTAACGTACTCTCAGGAAACATGTATAAAATCGTGTTAATTGTATCACACCTATGATCAAAGCCGGACACAGCGCTTGTGATCAAACACCCGTTGATAGACCACCTGTGATCAAATACCCTCTGCTGAGAAAACACCTGTGGTCAAACCCCCTATGATCAAACCCCCTATGATCAAACCCCCTATGGTCAAAGCACCGCTATGGTCAAAGCCCCGCTGTGGTCAAATCCCCTATGGTCAAAGCACCTGTGGTCAAAGGTCCGCGCACCCTTAATCCAGGGTATCATAACAAACGCTACTAGTATTGAATATATTCTTATATCAAAATATTGATACATACATACATGTTTAAATAAGTAACACAATAAATATATAGAAACAGTTAAACATAATATTTTAACGATATAGCTACCCAGGATCATGAGAAAATTATAAAGAGTAACATGATTTATGTTTTGTTTCTTTAAAAATCATCAAATTATTTTAAACGTTTAGCCAGTAGGGCAATTTACAACTCACCAGAACATTTGTCGGGGTTTGTTTCACTAATGGCGTATCCAGATTTACAGGAACACGAGTAGCCTCCCTTTCTGTTGATACATTTATGTTCACATGGTGAGTGTTTTTTACACTCATTGATGTCTGGAAATATTTTTAATCATTCGTGAAAATTAAATTATTTTAAATGATTGTGTATGTTCTTTAAAAGCACTGGTATTTTTTTAATGTTTACATTTTCAAGCACGCCGCGTTTATAAATTGTAACATATGGGGTGTATACGTTCTGAAATGTTTAAATAGGCTATACAAATACTTGTTATATATGTTTTATACAACAGTTTTATACTTTATAACATGTAAGATGAATAAGTTTTGCTATTCATTAATTAAAGAACAGAACTCGAGAGATAGTTTCAATGATATAGCCTACATATTTGTTTGATTACTATGTGGACTTACCTATACATTGGTTGGGGTTAACTTTACAGAAGGTGTATCCAGGTTCACAAGAACACGAGTAGCTGCCGGGAGTGTTGATACATATATGCTCACATGGAGATTTGTAGCGGCTGTTGCATTCGTTAATATCTAAATAATACACATTTTTTGTTAAATAGAATTCACTTTAACAATATATTGTGTATTGGTATTGCATGCATTTTATTTTTAAGTAATTGTAAAAAAAAAGAAGATATTGAGACAATTTTTAAAAATTGTGTTACATTAATTAAAAATACTTTTTTTTTCTGTGTGCGTATTTAAAAATGCAAACATAATTTAGAAAGATCAATTTAGAAAGCTTTTAATTAATGAACTAAAATAGATAGACAAGGAAGAAAGCTTTTAAAAAGAAAAACAAACAAGCAGAAAACATAAAGTAATATAAACACAAATAGAAAAAAAGAAAATGAATATATATATATATATATATATATATATATATATATATATATATATATATATATATATATATATATAAATTAAAGAAATGATATGCGCAAGTAAAAAAACAGTAAATCCAAGCCCACATCCACATCGAAATCCTCATCAACATCTATTTTCTTATGTTATATTTTACCAAGACATCTTGAAGGATCTCTTTTGCTGATGACGTAGCCAGGTCTACAGGAACATGTGCGGCCTCTACGTGAGTTATGGGTGAAATGCTCACACCGTGATCTCCAGCAGAAAGCTAGCACAGAAAAATATTCAAAGTGTAATTAAAAATAAGACTAGTTTTTAATCTTTTTTTTTATTTTGAGCGTCATTTATAAAGTCAAATTGTTGAAATATAGTTAATTTGCTTTAAGTCATTTATATTTGACATTAGGAAGACAACATTGTTAAATCACGCAAGCATTATAGACTTATTTTTTTTAATTTTAGCTATGTCAATATACTTTTATGCATATTTTATACTTTCTTAAATTGCATTTCTTTTTTTTAAAACTCTATTTTGTTGCGTTTAATAATGTTCTTGTTACTAGTTGTGGAAACGTAGGATGAAAATTTGCGACTAGTGGTCGGTTACATTGTTTTATTAAGGTCAAACGATTAAAATAACTGAATGTTATTTATATTGTATTTCATATATATTTCAATGCCGCTGATATGCATATTAAGCAGCAAGTCGCGACAATGTAGATTTCTTTACAGATAAACATCACCAAATAATGATCAATTTGATCTTTAGGGATAACACATTTATTCTATAAACAAATCAAATTTAACTCTCCTGTTGATAATAGATGGGATATTTAACTCTTATTCATATGTTACTTGAAGTTAATTGTGTTTTTCTGCGTTACCATTTAATGAACTATAATTAAGCATCATTTATAACAAACCCAGTTAAAATTATATGAAAACGCTGAGTTCACGCAGCTACGATGGACATCCCACTCACATTATAAAACGTAAGAACTGAAACAGGTGAGCAATACTTTAATTGCCTAATGAACTGTTTGGTTCGAAAGGAAACGTTTACTTTATTTAACTTTACTTAACTCGTTTAAAAATTATTATTTTTTATTAAACTTGTATTTTCAAATATTTTACTCTATTTTGTTGACACATTTGTAAGTTACTTTGCAATACTGGGAGTTCAAACGACATCGTCCTATTTAAGAAAGTAGGCCCATGTTTAAATACATTAATCTATTTTTAAAATTATTTACATTATTTTTAATTGATTTTTATTAGACATAAAACGTTGTACATTAATTACGTACAAGTATGATAGTTATGCTAATAAAAACAAATAAAATCTTAATGTATGTATTTGAATTAATTAAACTTCATATTTTCATTTTCTTCGTATTTCTTTTTTTTTCGCAAATAAATAAAGTGTTGTATTTACCATGCTCAAAACACAGGCATGCAAGAAGAGCACTGGCAAAGATAAATGTTGTACTTGGTGACGTCATGTCGGTGGAAATCAACGTTATAAGAGACTGTAAGAGAAGAAAAACAATACATTATTTTAATGTGATGGACAAAACTAAACTATTTACGTGTCGCTCTAATTACAACCGTCAAAACCTAAGAAAAGGACCACTGGCATGGACTGTTATGTGCTCAAGTATTGGGCAATATTTTTAACAACACTTAATTTTGTTAACACATACACATTTTGTGAATGTCTTTTTTGTATAATTTTTCCAAACTTTAAAATGTTTGCCTTGAATATATTTTTTTATCATCATTTAATCTCTAAGAGAATCGACGGATACATCACCAATTATTTTGTGCTTTTAACGTTTTTGCATTTTTTAATATAGTGTCTAAAGTTGTAAAGTTTGGAACATGTTTCCTTTCACATAAACTGATATCCGAATCAAAGAAACGACGAGAAAAATGCATTAATTTTTTTTTCGTTTGCAATTATTTATAATACAAATAAGGATTGAGCATAATAAAGCGTGGCTGTTATCGCCACTGAAGATTTTTTAATAATATTCGTGTATAATAATAAGGATGAGCAGGCTGCAAAGATATACTCGTTTCTCTTTCAAAATCGATCGTTTATTCGAGAAAAGAAATAGAGGGAAACATACTTAGAAATAAGCTGCTATATAAAGTATAAAATAAACATTTTTGATAAATTGAGAATAGCGTAATATAGTACTTCGTTAACAGGAAATCGCTTAAAATTTGATATAAACTAGTAAATAAAATCGTAGGCTTCTGTATAAAATGTCGTCTTTTTATGTGAAATGATACTCTAGTTATCGTTATTTTAGAACCCAGAAATAAAGTAAATTAGGACTAGTTCTTCCGGATATCGGAGGTCACTCGAAAATTGAAAGTAGTCTAAATATAAGATATTTAATAATTTACGCCTAATATCGAACACAGTACTGAAATTATCGTGATCCTAAAGGAAATAAAGTAAAGTACCACTTCCGTATACCGGAAAAATTTCATCCTTCGCGTAAAACGTAGTGATTTTTAGTGAAATTTCTTCCTCCTAACTTAAACAATTCTGAAGATATCAGATTTTGAGTAATCGGAAGAGAATTTACAAATTTTATATAACATGTCTATTTAACATTTCGTCAACATAACTGAAACGGTAATGACGTTATCGTGGTTACTTACAGTCACAAACACACAGACAGACAGGCAGACTAACAGGCATATATATATATATATATATATATATATATAAATATATATATATATATATATATATATATATATATATATATATATTTATATATATATATATATATATTTATATATAATTTTTTAAATCTATGTTCTTTCCTAAGGATAGTGGTGTAAAACACCGAGATTAATCAAAATATGGATTTCCATATTTTTCAATGAGTCTTATACTCCATACACGAGAAATTAAACATGAAAAATAATTACAAAACTAAAAAATAGTATGATCATAAAAAATGACACAAAAAAGTTCAATAAATATAAGTGCGCATCTGATACTCTCTTAAAAATATTGTTTTATTTATTTATGCCTCTTATTAACGCTGCTATTTAATGTTGTTATATGTATTCTGCCAACAGATGTTGTCTAAATGCTACACTAGTAGCGAATCATAGCTGAAAAGAAGCTTTGATAAATTTAATTCCTGAAGTTGCGTATTAAAGACTAAAACTTTTAAAAAAATGATATTGAGAAATATATAACAATTAATTTTGAGAATTAAATTATATTAGATAACAATTCACTTAACTAGAAACTCTAATAAATCCAGAAATAAATTTTAAAAACCATCCGCGCGTAAATCCGGATTAGAATAGAAGAATCTGGTTATTGCTTTTGTAGCATTAGAACGCCGACAGAAAACTGCTTTCCAAGTATGTTCTTCTAGTAATAAATTATGATCGCTTCCGTTTTGCGCAATGGCAACGATAGAGGAATAGAATAATGATAATTTTTTTAAAAAACATGCGATATTTCAAAAGCTCAAAAGAGTAGTTGGAATGAAGTGTTCATTTCCTCCTCGAGTCAATGCACTCGTTGATTTTTATTTTGAAGTGGGGTGGGAAGGTATTGTGCACTTTTCTTTAAGCAGCAATGTTTATTTCTAGCGTTCTACATAGCCAGTCAAGCGAACCAATGTTATACAATGGTCACACATGTAGCAAGGGTGTTCTAAGCAGAGAAACTATTATTGCATATATGTAACTCTGGCTATCAATTAGCAGCTTGATACATGTCTAACTAGAAGCGTACTAGCACCAAAAATACTTGAAATAACACGCTAGTGCATCTTTACTGATGCATCTCTACTATAAATTTCTCAATATTTCCCGTCTACTTTTATTAGCTTTATTCTTTATTTTAGTCTCTTTTCTTTTTTTTTTTACTTTCTCGTATATACAAAGTATAGAGAAAGTATTGTAATCGTGCAAAAAAAAAATCGAGATGTTTACAAATCTCGACGTTTTACACCTCACTGAAATTTCAAATGTAAGTAAAAGATCTAATTCTCTACCTTCTATCAAATTTTGAGTAATTTCCGTTGACCGGAAGTACTAATTTACGCTATTTCCGATTTCTCAAAAAACTAATGTAAATTTATAAAGAACTAATAATATTGCGCACTATTATGCGCTTTTTGCTTTGGCGTTCACTTGGTGCGCAATTCTTTTTTCTACTAGATTTAATTCTATTTTTACAAGCTTTTATTTAACTCACTTCCTCGTCAGTCTGTTTTGACGGAAACGCAGGAGTGAAAATTCGGACAGTTCTACTTGACCGACACGATTCACAGTTGGCACGTGGGTCAAGACATGAAGACAATGCAATCAGAAACTAAATTTGACTTAATTGGATGCCTAATTGATTTTATATGAATTAATTAAAATTTGGACCGAATTAGTAGGCATGTCTAGCCAACCACACCACACGCGTCATCAATAGCTGCGCCATCACGACCACGTAATGGCTGCGTTCAAAAACCATTGCGCGCCTACTGAACGTGATATTCAGTAGGCGCGCAATGGTTTTTAGTCATGTAACTCTATTGTAGATAAAACATGTAAAGTACTGAAAAAAAAATTCATAAAAAACGTTTTAATAACAAGCTTTTATGTAATGATGCACTAAAAAGTAGAAAATAAATTATAGACTACTATTTAAATAACTATAAAGAAAAGCGTGGGTGTCTTCCTTAACATTAGTAACGGTATCCAATAGATACTAAAGTGACCCACGCTTTTCTTTATAGTTATTTAAATAGTAGTCTATAATTTATTTTCTACTTTTTAGTGCATCATTACATAAAAGCTTGTTATTAAAACGTTTTTTATGAATTTTTAAAAGTTTAAGTAAACAAAAATCATGTCTATATTCCGAGCTGCAATACTACGTAGTGTTATATTAGAATATTCGAGAAAGTTTAGGGGAGATCACTCCCGGTTTATTTCTCCATTTCATGTTCGATTTCTCACAACGCACAATCTTAATTTAACTCTCATATTCTTCATATTTCGCTTTTCAACTTTCTCTTAATTGTGTATCTTATCTTACTGACTTCTTTATTTCTACATTTCTCTCTCCTGTTTCTTTCAATTACTTTCTCTTTAACTCTAGCTTTCTGTAAACATTTGGCGTTTTTTTTATTTGGCGTTCACTTGATGTGCAATTCTTTTGTCTACGAGATTTTATTCTATTTTTAAAACTTTAAGTATTTAAAATGGATTAAAAATCATGTCTATAGCCCGAGTTCCCATCCCCTGTTGTTTTATATAAGAATATTCGAGAAAGTTTAGGGGAGATCACTCCCGGTTTATTTATTGTATATCTACCATTTTCTCATTTCTGCTTGTTTTTTTTCCTTTATCTTTTTTTACTTTCTCGTAAATACGAAGTATAGAGAAAGTCTTGTAATCGTGCAAAAAACTCGACGTTTTACACCTCTCTGATACGGAAAAACATAATTTTGCAATATTGTCCGTATGTCTGTGTGTCTGTCTGTCTGTCTGTCTGTCCGTGTGTAAACACGATAACTTGAGTACCGTTACAGCTAGGTTGATGAAATTTCATATATAAGTTTTTTATCAAAATCGTATATACGTATAAACTTTTAAGCGATTTCAGATAACCGGAAGTGGTACTTTTCCTACTTTGAATTTTTCAAAAGCCTATAACTTGAGTACTATTTCAGATAGATAAATGAAATTTCACATTAGATTAAAAGATCTAATTCCATATTTTCTGTTAAAGTTTGAGTAATTTCCGTTGATCGGAAGCAGTAATTTACGCTACTTCCGATTTCTCAAAAAACTAATGTAAATTTTAAAAGTACTAATTATATTGCGCACTATTATGCGCTTTTTTATTTGGCGTTCACTTGGTGTGCAATTAATTTGTCTACGAGATTTTATTCTATTTTTAAAACTTTAAGTATTTAAAATGGATTAAAAATCATGTCTATAGCCCGAGTTCCTATCCCCTGTTATTTTATATAAGAATATTCGAGAAAGTTTAGGGGAGATCACTCCCGGTATATTTTTCTTATTATGTAAACTGGATGCATCATGCATGCCTCTATATTTTTAAATAACTTTCTTTTTTTTACTTTTCAACGTGCCCTCTGACAACCTCTCTGCGTGTCTGACCTTTTCTTTTTCCACTACTCATCTCGCCCTTTCTTTCATCGCTCCTCTACCCAGAGGCGTAGCGAACCATTCCAGCGCAAGGGGGAAACTATCAATTTTGTGCCTCTCTCCCATTTATATTATATTTATTCATGTTAGTGAAAAAGCGCATCCCCCCACAGTTGAAAAGGTTGGTGGCGCCTTTTACCAGTCACTAGTTTTTTCTTTGGTGCCTTATTTGTGTATATTTCAATATTTCAGCTCAAAATGAGCTATTACATTTTTTCACCCCTTTTGGCGCACCCCTTAGAGTGGTTTATCCCCTACACGTATGTCATCGAAATAAAATTTGTCACCACGCTCAAACATTTATAACAAATTTAGCTAACTAAACAAAGCCCGGTACGAAAGCCGCATACGTTTCATAGCAGTCTAAGAGGAAACTATATTGTCGTTGCTACTGTCAAAGTTTCTTTAACAGAAATGTATTACTTTTTATCACTACAATTACATATTTGGATCACATAATTGAAATCCACTTTAGTGTGAGTCGAATTTCGTTCCAAGGGAAATACATGCATACTAAGTTATACAAATATGGACAAATAGTATTGCTTATATTTTACAATATTTTAGTATGATAATCTGTTTTATCAACATTATTAAAATAAAACTACGAAACAAAATTTAATAAATCGTGCAAGAAACTATCTTTTAACATACCTGTCTCCTAACCCACAGAAAGACAGACCTAACGTTGTCCTGAAATGAATCTACCACAGAATGACGAATTCATACGCCTCGAAGTCGTGTCACGTTTATATTTACTAGAATTAAACTTTAAAAAATAATAGTTTGTCGCAAAACTCGTTTGACTAGGTACCCATGACAGTGCTATAAAAATGTCTGACAGCTGTTACTTGATACTCTATGACATTCAGTTATGTTTTCATTTGGTTTTCGTATATAATTTTAAAACCGTTTCTGTTTTATCTGACGATGTTGATATAGAAAACACTAAAGCTAAGATTATTTTTTTTAAATATACGTTTGTTTTAAAAGTAGGGAGTAGAAGATAATACATTTTCAAGGGGGGGGGGAACTGGTAACAGTTTTATATTTTATATATAAATTATATTTAGTTCAGGGGGGGGGATGGGCAGGAGTACGGGTGGCGTAGCCCCCCCCCCCCCCCCCCGAAAAGATGAAATAAACAATGGTTTATTTCAATGGTTATTTGTTAAATTATATATATATATATATATATATATATATATATATATATATACATATATATATATATATATATATATATATATATATATATATATATATATATATATATATATATATATATATATATATATATTGACAACACCCTCCATTTATTTGCCGAGATTATTTAAGCAGGTAAACATTTCACCAACCCCATGGACCGCCATGTTCGCAATGGTAATTGAATTTACGTCTATACAACTTATACACCCCGTCTTGCAAGATTACACGATAATGCGTACAATCACGCTATAGCGTTATGCATTATAATACGATCCACTTCACTCCAACACAACCAGACATACTACACTCATGCCAAGCTCAATCTTACATGTAAAACACAAACTCGTATGAACATTTGTTCACCTCGAGTAATCATGAATATAAAAACACCGACACAAGCCTCTATTCATTGGAACATACATTCATGGCTGGATGATTTAATACAATCTACGTCTTTCTTTAGATTATGCTAATAAAGTATATTAAAAAGAAACACATGCAGCGATGATATTTGTATTTTTAGACATCCATACAGATCTTAGTTGCAGGAGGAATGCCTTAGCATAGAAGAAGAAAATTCCACATGACAGAACTCTTTCAGAAAGATTTACGATGCATGTAAATCGACCCAACATCTAGACCGTTCATGGGATGTTGACTGCGGTCTAAACAAGAGAGTCTTTTATCTAGGTGGGAAGTAACAGCATGTAGGCTCCGAGGAGATGTTAAATAGTGCAGAACAAAATGAAAACGGGGAACCCTCTTTGCCTTCAATACAACCACAAACATAAGGGTCGTAAATGACTCCATGTTTTAGTACAACAGATAATGTCATTTAAGAGATTAAATGACAAGTGAATAAGAAATACGCATATGTGTGTAAACATGCACGTTCACTATTCCTATACAAAGTTCATATTTCCGACTTGTTTAATAAGCACTATTATTGGCATACCACATGTTGTTTTACTGTGCAAAATACGGTTGTCTTATGCAAAAAGTACAATGTAACAACATGAGTTTTAAAATGCATTTGCATC